TTCACTACCCAAAGGTGTCACAGAACAGCTTACAAACTCCTTTCCCTTCCCCTCCCCACAACAGACACCCTGGGAGGTAGGTGGGGCTGAGAGAGCTCTTGACAGAAACTGCTCTTTTTCAAGAACATCTCTTATCAGAACTACGGCTTGCCCAAGGTCATCCAGCCAGGTGCAAGTGGAGGAGTGGGGAATCAAACCCGGTTCTCCCAGATTAGAGTCCGCACACTTAACCACTACACCAAACTGGTTCACCAAAATAGTTCCTATTCCTGTCTCAATATCTGATCCCAGCATGCCAGATTAACCCCCACTGTGGGGTGAGGGATCAACTCCCTCCAAAAGCAGCCTTACAATTACTTAGCTTCAGAGAATGAAAAATAGGAGTAAGCATAAAGAAAAATGTCATTATAATTTCAAATCCAGGGGAATTTTTTAAAAAACAAAACAAAAACATTTTTATTGTTTTTCTAAAACTACAACACTACAGGGTCAGGGGATGGGAACAGCCTAAAACTAGAGTACCAAGGATCATTATTACAAAAGTTTGAAGTTCCTGATACATCTCTTTTGTCAGAATACTAAAGGATGAGAGATAATATTACAGATATATCAAATTAAAAGGCAAACAACCATAAACATATTTGGCTATAGTTGTGCATCTTAATTTTAAAATTATACGTTGGTTTGGAGTTATGTGTTAAGAATAAACATCAGGCTATCGAAATTAAGCTATTTTGCATTTTCCTCTCCTCCTGTCAAAGTCCAAATTAGTTTTTAAATGCTTTGGGGGTAACAACCCCTAGTTCTGCTTCAAAATCAAAGGGTTTTGCCAGACTAATTGAATTGATATCAGAGTCTTTCCCATCCTTCTCCATCTTCTTCTTCTGCGTCTTTATTCTCCTCCACTTTCTCAGATCCCTCTTCCGCTTTCTGTTGTTGCTTCAGGAACATTTGCTTTATTTCTTTGTCGTTGAAATTTTGAGTTCCTTTTGCAACGTATACAAGCTTGTTGCTAAGGTGGTCATCTGGTCCAGTAGAGGGCGTAAAGCTGCAGCAATCAGTTTGGGAAAGTCTGTAGTTGCTTCCGGTCTGGTAGCCGGCGATGATGTGCTCACCGTTCCTGTTATAAGTTTCGTTTCCGGCGCCATTTATTCTGCTCGCTGAGTCATTGTTTATACAAGAGGACAGTTTAAAAGTTCTCCGTAAGTCTGGTGATTTATCGCTTTCTTGCTGGTCCGCCGCACACTCCATCATAATCTGCTTTGCTCAAAGCTGCCCTTTCCGCCTCCCACTTTAAATTCAGTCTTTTCGAGATCAGGCATTCCCCTCCCCCTTCCACTTGTTTGGGGCTTTGGGACGGCTTTGCTGCTAGCGTTTTTAGCAATTGTTTGCTGGATCATAGCTTCACTCACGTTTGTACTTGCGTTCTGTGCGTATGTAGAGAGGATCATTCCTTAGGATCCTTGTGCGCTCTATCCAGTGTGCACCTCTTGGTGCCATGCTGGCTCCATGCTGCAGGGGCCTTTAGGGGCAAAAAGGTGCCTCAATCCTTTGGCTTCCGCCTTGGGAGAGGCACCTGTCACGCCCCAGGCTGCGCCCTCCCCTCCAGGGGGCCTGGGGGGTCCTAGATCAACTCAGACCCCCCCATTGGCAAGTTTGTGGGCGCTCACATCAAAGCTACGATGGAGCACACCTACTTGCGAGTCGCCAAAAACCGGTAGTCCCTCCAGGCGAAATTCTTATTGCAACTGCTTATTTTCGGGTAGGACTTTACTGGTTTGGGATTCAAATCCATGTGGTTCCGGAGTTCAGGACCATTATTATTAATAGGGAATGTACATGTGGCAGGGTATGAGGCAGCCATTTATAAAGATAATGGCATCAGGCTTGTACAGAACACAAACCTCCCTGTAATCTGAAGACCCCTTAATTTTCAAGCAGATTGACCAAGGGGTTCGATCTTACAGACCCCCAAAGAAGGTGACTCTCTGCAAAGCTGCACATCACTCTACTGATTCCAAAAATGGCAATCAAGCAGCAGCCTAGCAGGAGAGCGCCGGCAGCCAACAGCATTAAACAAAAACCCTGTCTTCATTTTCCTACTTTTACAGTGACTGACTGACTGACAATACAAATTTCTTACCCTTTCCACCGAAAACTCTGCATTTGCCGTCCTTTCTTGTTGTGGCCGGTTTTGTTTCCTTTCACAAAGCAGACGTGTTCTCCTTTGCAAATCCCCCCCCACACACACACACATCCCTTTCTGTCAGTCTGCCATCAGGAGATGTACTAAAATGAATGACAAGAATGCTGATCAGGAGCAATGAAGGCCCACTGGTTATAAAGGGAGCTGGGAATGCCAAATGGCTTGCATAGGCTCCACTGAAGTACAGCACAGCACACAAAAGTTGCAATGAAAATGCAGAATGGATTACAGGAAACCTAACCTGGGCCTGGAAAGATAACACTCCAGAGTGGAATGGAAATGGAGTGAAAATGGAATGAAAATGCACTGGGATTGGAATGACAGCCCTTGGGAGTAGAATCAGTGCTCTGGGGGCTGTCATTCCAGTTCCCAAGCATAGATTCCATCCCTGGGGGCTGTCATTCCACTCTGGGGCCTGTCATTCCAGTCCCAGAGCACTGATTCCACCACAGAGGCTGTCGTTCTATTCTGGGGCTGTCATTCCAATCCCAGAGCATTTTATCTGGGTCCAGGGACCATCATGCCAGTCTGGAGGCTGACATTCCAGGCCCATAGCAGGTTTCCTGTAATCCATTCCACATTTTCACTGCAACGTTTGTGTCCTGTAGCATATTTCAATATAGCCTATGATAGTCAATCAGGCATTCCTGTCATTTGTTTTTAGTACATCCTGCTGTTATGCCCTATGATGGACATTTCAGAGGGCTGTAGTGGATATTTTTCAACCAAATGACCCCGAAATTGTAGCAGAGTGTCTTCACTAGCTCTCTATTTTCCCAGCCATAGAAGAAAACAAGGGCTCCGCTCCTCCACCTCAGAAGAGAGAGAAAGAAAACTGTGGATCTCTTTAGCATGTCACCAAAGCACTCTGCTCCTCCCTTGCAAGGATCTGATTGGAAGGTAGAAATTACCATTGTTTGAAAAATCAGTGCCATCGAGGAAAAACAGGAACACATGTTGTAGCCAGCTAGCAGCACCCCAAACTCAAAAACAACATAGATTTCTTGGGGGAGGGTAGTTTCATTTCACTAAGAATGCTGAATTCCTAATACAGTCCTGGAAAATCACAGTATTGACCTGAAACAGAAATTTCCATGTACATCTTAAGTTTGAGAATTTTGTTATGCACACCACTAGTGAACACCTTCACTCCCTATGTAGGACCTAATATGCTTTCCATCCAAGCTCTTCTCCCTCACCAGTGATTGGCTTCTGCTTTTCCCTCAATTTTTCTCCAACCTAATCATAAGACTTGGAGGGTGCTTGGGAACTGTAGACCTATTAGAAAATTTACACAAAGGAAGACAGGCTTCTCTGAGGCCTGCAGGCTGCTCACTCTTCAACCTTAGGCCTGCGATCAAAACACTGCTTCATTCAGGAATCCCTGAAGTTTCTCAGCCATCACCTGTTTAATCACCATGCTCAGAATGGTACATTTGTGACAGGGTGGTAGCTGTTCAACTCTCCAGGGACCACAGTAGGTTTCCTTATGACTGGGCACACTTCTAGGGGTGTGCGCTCAGTACAAACCAGGCCAGAAAAATACTCTGTAAATACTTTATTGGTATTTATTGAGTATTTTCTCAGCCAATGACCAACAGGACTAGTGATTTGGCTATCCGAAAATGGTCAACCCAAAAAATACCAAAAACGTTTGAGATTTTTTGGGGCCACTAGATACCTGCAGTTACAGGACATTTAAAGGGAGTAAACTTCAGAGTAAACTCTCAGGCATTTAAAGGCACTGCAGTCCCTTTAAATGCTTTGGAGTTCACTCACTGTGGGTTGGCATTCCTTTACACTCCTTCCCCCCCCTCTATTGGAAACAATGGAGAATGGGAGCAACTTCTTCTGGGGCTCATAGAACTGGACCTCCTGGTCCAATCCTTTTGAAATGGGGGGGGGGGGGTTTGAGGAGAGGCAACAGCTGCAAATTTGGTGCCTCTACCTCAAAAAACACCCCCCCGAGCCCCAGATACTTCTGGATCAATTCTCCATTATAGCCTATGGGGACCATGGACTATAATGGTCCCCACAGGGTATAATGGAGTAAAACAAAAAATGAGCAATCCCGAATATTTCCTGAATCCCAGTTCCATACCAATATTGGGATTCAGGGATACTGGGAAATACCAATCTTTTTCAGGCTCAATATACCCAAACCTGAAAAATACCAATTTTTTTTGTGTGCACACTCCTACACACCACTTCCTCTGAGAGAGACATTCGCTGTCTTCTGACCCAGTTCCCAGCCACCTCACCCCACCCCTGTAGATTTCAGCAGCCAGGAGGGGCAAGTGCCATACAAGCATGTGGTAGATGTCAGCTTCCCAGAATCCTTTCCACACACTCAGACTGCTGAAAGGTATTCTACACAACTGGACAAGTCAGCTCCTTGGAACATCCTATCTTGTCACTGCTAATATAGAGTCCAAGTTGGAATGGATATGAGAGATTTTATCTGCAAAGTGCTGTGCAAAACAATTGCAGCAAACTGCAGAGCAGTCCACCTTCTCCCATAGGCCAGAACCCAACAGGCCCCTGACTGGAAGAGTTCTGCAGGAAACAATGGTGGCAGACAAATATTGTTTCTTCATTGCCACAGAGGAGGCTTTAAAATGAGCTCTAGTCTGTGCCTTTTCGGATTAGTCATGAGTCTTCACCGTTGCTCTAGCCGTCTCCTTTGTCTTTTCATCATAGAAATCTATATTTTGATCTCTGTACTGTAAACCAGTTTTTTTCCATCCTCCAAAAACTTAACTGCTCTATAATTAAAATCATCACATTAACTCACCGTTAAAAAAGGGTGTCTAGTATTTTTCAGTACCCTGCTTTCTGTAAGTGTGTGGGCCACTTCATCCTAAACAGTAAAAAAAAAAAAATGCAGTGTTTAGTACTGAATTTTAGAGAAAGTGGACAGATAATAAAAAATAAATTTTCAGTTTGAAAAGAATGCTAACAAGATTTTGGAATGCCTTAAAAAACATGTATCTAAAAGAAAGAGGAAAGGTGCACCCCCCCCCCAAAGGAGCAAAATAAACTTCACATCATTTTTTATTGAAAACATCTGCGTTCACATAGTAATAGTGCTGCAATATTAGGTTAGCATAGCTTTAATATAATGCTTCTTAAAATGCTATAATGTTACAATAAATTTTAAAATCGTATTGTTTGACCCTGCAGTTGGAAACTTCTTTACATACCTTTACTAAGAAAAAGGTATCATAAGGGAAACCCGTGAAGGTATCTAAAATGGTACTATCAGAACTGATAGCTCTTTCAGCACTAGGGGCTTAAAAAGAGAATGAGTGACAGTAGCCATCAGGGGAGAGAGAGACGGAAAGTAATAGAAGAAGTGGGGGAGGGAAAGTGAAAGAGACTGATATAAGAAGGAGGAGAACAGGGGAGGACGCAAAGGTGAGAAGAATGGGATGGCTGCTCTCACAAGATTCTTGTGGGTCCCTATTTGTCTTGTCTTTATACTAATATTGAAGTCAGCCAAATCTGAGGATACTTAAATCCAGTGACTGGAGCTGTGAACAGACAAGACAGATCTTTCTACAAAGCTGAAAAAGGCCTCAGGTTTGCAGAAAAGTGTGGAATCTTTAAAAAATACACTGGGTGGGTTTAAAAAACCCAAAATTGATAAGAGGACCATCTGTAGCTGTAAGCAATTCATTCCTTCACTGGCTGTTGTTGGGCACCACAGCATGCCATAACTGAGAAGCCCCTCTCCCAGATTGCCATCTGCTTAATCTCAGAAGGTGGAGGCACCCAAACCAGACCCTCCAAAGGTGATCTTAGTGGATAGGTAGTTTCATAAGGGTATAGGTCTTCAGGGGGTCTCCCATACCCTACTTTGAAGCTCTAACAGCTATACTACACAGGCTTTCATAGGGTGGTTGGTGTTGAACAGTAACAAGCAACCAGGCCTAGTTGAGTCATGCAAGTTGGGTGGCATCAAGTTACCCAGAGATTGCTACCAGGCTTAGGGTTGACAACAGCACTGGTCGCCCTCACGGATGACTTTCAGAGGCATCTGGATCGGGGCAGAATGACAGTGCTGTTGTTGTTAGACCACTTGGTGGCGTTCAACACAGTCGACCATCAGCTACTGATCCACACCTTACCGACATTGAAGTCCAGGGACTGGCCTTGCAGTGGCTTGCTTCCTTTCTCCAAGGTTGGGGACAAAGGGTAGCATTGGCTGAACAGCTATCCCGAAGGCACCCACTGGTTTTTGGAGTGCCCCAAGGGGCAGTGCTGTCTTTGATGCTCTTTAACATCTACATGCGCCCCCTTGCCCAGATTGCCCAGAGTACACAGATGACACCCAGCTCTATCTGTTGTCGGACAGCCAGTCTGATTCCAAACTGGAAAATCTAGACTGGGCATTACAAGCCATGGCTGTTTGGCTTAGACTGAGCCAACTGAACCTGAATCTGACAAAGATGGAGGTCCTGTGTCTGAGCCGGGGTGGCCCAAACGTAGGGATCCCACTCCTGACCTTCGATGGGGCTCCTTCGGTGCCAGGAGGTTAGGAGTTTGGGAGTGCTCCTAGATGCCTCCTTAACAATGGAGGCCCAGGTAGCAGCCACTGCCAAATAGGCCTTTTATCATCTTCACCTGATCAGGCTGTTGGTTCCCTTACTCGAATGCAAATGAGTAGCAGTGATTCATGCGATGGTCACCTTGAGATTGGACTACTGTAATGCTCTCTACATGGGGCTGCCCTTGTCTCAAATCTGGAAGCTGCAGCTGGTGCAAAATGCTGCGGCCAGGCTATTGATGGGACTCCCACTCGGGAACACATCGAGCCTGTGCTAAAGGCATTGCATTGGCTGCCGATAGCATACCGGATTTGTTTCAAGGTGCTGGTTCTTAATTTTAAAGCTCTTTATGGTCAGGGACCTACATACCTTTCCCCACATGTTCCCCAGAGAGCACTGCGATCAGGGGCCCAGAACCGACTGCCCCCCCAAAAAAAAGTCTCAAGGAGGCCAGGTTGGCAACAACCAGAGCCAGGACTTTCTTGGTGGCAGCTCCACTCTGGTCGAATGAGCTCCCAGAGGAGATCAGGGCCCTGCAGGACGTTTTGCCATTCTTCAGGGCCTGTAAAACGGAGCACTTCCGCAAGGCTTTTGGAGCCACCACCACTGTTAACCACCACTGCTAACAACTGAGAGCTGAAGGTGAGAGAGCCCTTTGTTCCCCTGGAACTTTTAATAACAGCTTGATTCAGCCGCCAGAAGGATAATTAAAAGAAGACCAAAGAACCGATTGTGAGAAGAATGAACTCAATAATTACAGCCATCTGGAATTAATATCACTAGCACTTTATTATGTTGTACAGTTAATGATTTTAGAATTGTTTTAATCTACATTTATATTCATGTTTTATTGTGAATTATGTATTGATTTTATGTAAGCCGCCCTGAGCCAGCCTTGGCTAGGAGAGTGGGGTAGAAATCCAATAAATAAATAAACCAGGTGGGATCTGGAGATCTCTCAGAATTACAAATGAACTCCAGACAACAGAAATGTGTATCCATGGAGAAAATGGCTGGTTTGGAAGGAGGACTCTGTGGCATAATATCCAGCTGAGGCCCCTTCCCTCCCCAGGTATGTTCATCCCAAACCATTTAGGGCTTTGAAGTAGGGTTGCCATTTGGGGCTTCAGCCCACCACTGGCCAACTGGCCGGCAGGGGAAGCCCCACCGCCATACAGGGATGTCGCACAGGATGACGTCGCCCATCATTGCTTTGGGGATGTCACACAACATCCACACCCACCCCTGGAATGTCCCCCAAAGTCCCCTGCTCCAGCCAAGGTAAGACCTGGCAACCCTACTTTGAAGGTCAAAACCAACACTTTGAATTGTGCCTGGAAACCAACTGGTAACCAGTGTAGACGGGTCAAGACTAGAGTGATATGGTCCCTATGACCCACTTCAGTCAATATCCTGGCTACAGCATCCTGTACCAACTGAACCTTCCAATGTTGATGTCACCAGGGCATGAATCAGAGTGGCCAGATCTTTCCCATCCAGGAAAGGCCACAGCTGGCTAACCAGTTGAAGCAGGTATCTAGTAAAAGGCTTGCATCCAAGAACATCCCCAGACTAAGGACCTGTTCCTTCAAAAGGGGTGCAAAATCATCCAGAACGGGTGACACCTTAAATCCCGTGCCAGACCTTCTGCCCACCAGGAGCGCTTCCATCTTGTCAGGATAAAGCTTTAGTTTATTAGCCTGTATCCACTCCAAATTTGCCTCCAGGCACCAGTTTAAGATTTCTACAGCCTCCCGGGATCAGCTGAAAGCATGAAAGAGCTAAGTGTCATCCACATATTGGTGACAACACAGCCCAATTCTTCAAAAGACACCTAACAGTTTCATGTAGATGGTAAAGAGTACTGGGGATAAGACGAAACCTTGCAGGACCCCACAGGCAAAAGGTCAAGGGACTGAGCAGCAGTCCAGGCTTTGAAGCCAAGTACCACCTTTTGAAACCTATCCTCCAGGTAGGACCAGAGGTGTAGTGGTTAAGAGTGTGGACTCTAATCTGGGAGAACCAGGTTTGATTCCTCACTTCTCCACATGCAACTGGTGGTATGACCTTGAGTCAGTCACAAGTTCTCTCACAGCTGTTCTCTCAAGAGCAGTTCTCAAAAGAGGTCTCTCAGCCCCACCTACCTCACAGGGTGTATGTTGTGGGGAGGGGAAGGGAAAGGAGATTGTAAAACACTCTGAGACTCCTTCGGGTAGTGAAGTGCGGGGTATAAATCCAATCTCCTCTTCTTAAGCAATAGCAGGCCTTAACCCATTCTCTTTGACTTTAGAAGCCGGTGTCATTTTTCAGCCTTCAGATTTCATATTTTAATGACTAACTCTTTTAATTATTGATACCACAAAACTTAATCCTAATTTCAGTGTTTCTCATAATTATGTTAAAACTATGACATTAGTGTTCTAGTATATTAATATATTTATTTTATTTTGTTTAATTTGTATCCCACCCTCCTGCAACCTTGATTGTCATCACCACAACAAAAAGCTAACCCTGGCCTAATTCCCCCCCAGGTTCTCAAAATTCAATTATTGTTTTAAAGTGCTCCATTTAATAATGTATTGGAGGCAGCACAGAAAACATTTGGTTAATAAATGAATTCATACCCTGGGGGGGGGGGGGGTTGGTAGTGGGAGATTCCGGGAGCCAGTTTTGACCAGATAATGACTTCCCTACCTAGTGCAAACAGACATCACATACTGTCTAGATGGGCTGGTATCTAATGTGGGGGAAGAATATAAGAATATAAGAGAAGCTATGTTGGCCACTTTGGCCACCAAATGAGAAGAGAGCACTCACTGGAGATGACCATGATGCTGGGAAAGAGAGAAGGTAAAAGAAGAAGGGGGGTGGCAAAGAATGAGATGGTTAGAGAATGGTTATCAATGCAACAAGCATGAAGTTAAGCAAACTCCGGAGCATGACAGAAGACAGGAGAGCCTGGCGTGATGTGGTCCATGGGTTCGCGAAGAGTTGGACTCGACTATGCGACTGAACAACAACAACAAATGTTGGATCAGGCCAATGGCCCATCCAGTCAAAAACTCTGTGTCACACAGTAGCCAAAACCCAGGTGCCATCAGGAGGTCCACCAGCAGGACCAGAACTCCAGAAGATCCCCCACTGCCCCCCAAGCACCAAGAATACAGATCATCACTGCCCCACCTGGTGGAATGGGGAAAGTTAGTAGGATGTTGCTATAGTAAAGGCAAAGGATTCCCTTGCTCGAAAGCCAGTTGAATCTGACTCTAGTGTTGCGTTGCTCATCTCCGTTTCCAAGCCGAAGAGCCAGCGCTGTCCGAAGACATTTCCGTGGTCATGTGGCTAGCATGACTAAATGCCAATGTGCACGGAACGCTGTTACCTTCCCACTGAAGCGGTACCTATTTATCTACTTGCAATTTCTTGCTTTTGAACTGCTAGGTTGGCAGGAACTGGAACCAGAGACGGGAGCTCACTCCATCATGCGGCACTTGGGTCTCGAACTGCTGAACTACCGACCTTCCAGCCTGCAGTTCAGCATCTTAACCACTTGAGCCACCACAGAATTTTGCTATACCTGGATACAAACTCTATAGACAGGACAGGGAGGGACGTGTTGAGGGCAGTGTTGCTCTGTATATCAAACACAGCATAGTCATTTAACCTAGAAAACATCAGGAGGAGAAACTCTCCCATGACAGAGAACAAGCAGGAGTAATTGAAGTCAATTCAATTGCTTTCCAGCCTCACTTCAGCCACCGTTTTAGAAACACTAATAGGTCTAGCAAGAGACAGTGGGATGGCCAAGCTTCCCCCCCCCCCAAGCAGGGAACAGACATTTGGAGGAATTAAGTGCTAGAAAGACCTCAGGGAGAAACTCCTGGAGACTTCAGGAATAGCTTCTTTGATCTGACTGGGTCAGTGGGAGGAGAAAGAGAAATGATAAAAGTCCTGGGAGCAAGTAGGAGGGTCTCTTCGGTGCTGATTCCATCGAAGCAGACAGAAGTCTTACCTGAGGTCCATGGGAGGCAGCCATTGGCATGTGCTGGCCTACACACCTTGGCTTCAAGGTAACAGAAACCCTGTAGAGCAGGGGTGGCCAAACTGCAGCTCAGGAGACACATGCAGCTCTTTCACACAGTCTAACTTTATGTTAATAAAAAGCAAATTTGCATATTTTTCAATAAAAATGTGTGTATAATATTTGTTCATGTCTTGCGGCTCTCAAACATCTAATGTTTATTCTATGTGGCTATTACGTTAAGCAAGTTTGGCCACCCCTGCTGTAGAACATCTGGTAACTCTCTAAGCTAAGGAGTCTGCCTTATATTTAACATCTGCTAGGGCATGTATAGAGGGAACAGAGGAATTGTTTTTAATTTATTTTTAATAAATACTTTATAACTTTTGATACTGGTAGAAGATTTCTGTACCACACAGACCTCCACTATCTTGGACACGCTATTTTAAAAGGAGTGCCAAGAGGAAGAGGAGGGGCAGTCAGTTGGCAAGCAGCTACTCCCCCAGTGGTGCACAAGGTAGTAAGCTGTTCCCATGATAACCAGATGTTGGATAGCATGAGACACAGAGAGGCAAGGCTTCAGAACTTGGAAGGGAAGCTGAGAGTCCAGCCCTTCCAGTGGGCAATTCCTACAAAGGCCAGGTGGCGGTGGCAGTTGAGCAGAGAGAGAGAAAACCCCTCCAAGTGTTGGGAAAACCTGGGAGGGCATGGTGGAAGAGGGCCTGCAGGTCAGAGCAGGACGGTTCTACCACAGCCTCTATACCCTGTTTGGTTGGCCCTCCAAGGCAACTGGCTGACTGATGTTTGAAACAGTATGCTGGACTAGATGGACCACTTTTCTAATCCAGCAGGCTCTTCTCATGTTCTTATGTTCACTGATTGGTGTAATGTTGTTTATATATAAACTAGGAATAAGGCCCATTGTGAAAATAAATACAATGAACTCTAGAAAGAGGCTCTGGGCTGGTGCCCTGGCCTTGGGCACTCAGCGCCAATTTGCTGTAATGACCGCAGCAGTGTATAATGACACAGAGTCCACCATTTTCTCCAGGGGAACTGATTTCTGCCATCTGAAGAACAGCTGTAATTCTGAGTGATCTCCAGCCCTCACCTGGAGATTGGCAGCAGTGGTTCCCCAGGAGGAAATGGCTGGTTTGGAGGGTGGAGTCTATGGTACTGTACCTATCTGAGGTCCCACCCCTCCTTAAACCCCACCCTCTCCAGGCTTCACCCCTCAAATCTCCAGGAATTTCCCAACCTGGAGGGGGCAACCCTATCTCCTTCCCAGCCAACCATCAAACTACAGTTATTTGCCCCTCTGACTTCAACTATCCATCTCCTCCCCCTCCCTCCTGGAGAGCAGTTGTAATTCTGAGAGATCTCCAGCCCTCACCTGGAGATTAGCAACAATGGTTCACCAGGAGGAAATGGCTGGTTTGGAGGGTGGAGTCTATGGCATTGTAGCTGAGGTCCCACCCCTCCTCAAACCTCACCCTCTCCAGGCTCCACTCCTCAAATCTCCAGGAATTTTCCAACCTGGAGCTGGCAACCCTAGTCAGGACTGGCCCCAATAAGTTCCTCACAAAGGCCTGGAAAGGGCCTCCTGGCTTTGCCTTTTTACTGACAGAACCAAGCTTGGTTGCCTAACAACAGCAACTGAGGGAAAAGTTAGTATCACACTTGCCAAGCAGGAGAAGTGTCTTCATCAGGAGAGACAGCCGTTTTGGCAGTTATTCTGACAGGGAACAGTGGCTGAGGCGGCAGTGGGTGAGGAAGAGGGGCAGACCCAGCACCCAGCCAATGGCATGCAATTACTCTTGAGTGGTGGTTGATGGGCCAATGGCTGATGGAGTGCACAGCACAGCCAATGAGAGAGCTGGAAATGGCCAATGCATTAGGAGAAATATATATATGTAAGATAAGCAATGACGACAACATCATGCCTATTTAGGCTTATGTCATATAAGAAAACATTATGATGTGAAATAGTAAGTTTCTGGTTGGATCCTGCCACCTTTTCATTCAAGCTTAGCCAATTCCCCCCTTATTTATGGCCCCCCATTTCATATGGGTTTTGTCTATGCAAGTTCCATGAGGTCAAACATAGTGCTTATAGTGGTTAAAAGGGCCCATTATTCCCTTTCTCATCAGTGAAAAAAATGGTTAGATCCAAACATTTGTACTTCCACTGAGAATGACTGAAATATGCTACAATAAAATCAGAGCTGAAAATACTAGGTGCCAGAATTAAATTTCTAAGCACCATTGCATCCCAACGCCTGGAATTTATTGAGCCCTGTCTTATAGATGCCACCATTTAGCAAGTAAATTTTAAGTTATAAAAATAGTATTCAAACAGAATATTTACAAGAAAAAATATATAAGCCTACCTTTGCAATAATAACTTCTTTTTTCAGAATCTTCATAGCATAGTATTTTCCACTTGCTTTCTCTCGAACCAGAATAACTTTGCCAAAAGTGCCTTTGCCAAGGAGTTTTAAGTAATCAAAATCATTCATTGTCTGTATAGAGCATAAGATCAGGAATTAATAAAATTTACATCTTATAGATGTAGTCATTAAAAAGCTGCTATTGTCCCATCACATACTACGGTTATTAAGTTAACAAGCGCCTCTTAAACAGACTGATGGAATGCTAAATGGAAAAAAAAATACATCTAAAGTTACACCTTTAGCTCATTCTTTTGCTACAAGTACTTCGGCATGTATGGGCACAGATGTATTTATCAGGAAGGCATGACAACATATAACATGGCAGGGATGCTATATCTAACTATACATTATATAAAACGATAATTATTAATCCTGTCTGTATTTCCTTGGTTCTGCCAATTTCAAAATGATTATCAACTATGGAATAGCCAAGGGATGTTGAAATATGTGAGCTCACTAAGCTTTTGTTAATATTATAACGTTGCCAGCACTGAAGCTCTACACAGGCAAATTTTCTGAATGTACATGGTCTGCTGATCATATAACATGCCAGTAACAGACTGCTGGATGACACCAACAATCAGCTTGTTTATTATCTTTGGGTACAGTTTGCAGACTGTTGTTTTCAGAGCCAGTGTGCAGTATATGTTTCAAGTGGGCAAAAATAAAATTAAAACTATCTGAATAAAATAGGACTAAGTAAAAACAGCAATACACAAATCTAAAAATCAGCTTTACATTAAGAGCATGGTGATTTCTTTAATATTGTCTACATGACAATTTTGTGTTATTATAATATATTCTAAATCCACAAGCATGCACTTGAATTTATTTATTTGCATCCTCTTTTTCTCCCCATTTAGGGCTCAACGTGGCTTTGAACATTGTTCTCCGGTCCTCCATTTTCTTAAAACAATAAACCCTATGAGGTAGACCAGGCTGAGAGTATGTGACAGGCTTAGGGCTACCCAGCAATCTTCCATGGTATAAGTGGGGATTCAAACCTGGGTCTCCCTGAGTCCTACTTCAACACTCTATCCACTAGGCCATGCCAGCACATGATGACCCTATAAATAAATTTACTTCTTTGCTACAAAAAGAAGTTTCACATGTTTGGGGGGGGGAGATATTATTTATTATGGAGTATTCTCATTTGAAGAAAAAGCCTCACTAAAATATTCTGAAGGGCAGTTAATTAACGATTCAAACACAAGGGTATTTCAGAATCCAGATTTTAAGTTAATAAAGACAAGATGATTTATGAAATGTTACTGTCCTGTTGAAAGACTGGATACAGATGATAGTGCTTTAGAGACTTGAAGGTCAACTTTCCTCAGTACCTGGCACCCCAGACCCCAGCAACTCAAAAACCAGTCTTAAAGATACACAGATTAGAACCAAGACTTCCATGATCAAAGTGAGTTGTAACTAGGGTCTTTACTATCTTGCCCTTCCCTTTGCCCCTTCTCCTAAGCTTCTGCTGAGAGATGGTTCCATCCAGAACAGAATGTCAGGCATCACAATGGGCTGCAGTCAGACAAGTAGATCAATAGAAATCGTCCTCCTAGCTCTTGCATAAGCTTTTGCTCCATTTACAGAACTTGATCAATTCACAGAACTTGATTCATTAGCATAAGACTAAATTCAGCTATCTAACAAAATTCCCATCTTGCCTGAATTCATTTTTAGCCTGTTGATTCTTATCCACTAAAATGTAGTTTGTTTCTGCTGCTGTTTCGGTATGCGTAGGTCACAAAGACACAGTTGAGTTACACCAGCACAGCAATGCTAACTTACTAGAAAACTTTTGACAATGTCATCTACTGGTTTAATATACATATTAAATAGAAGATAATAAAACTGGACTTGTAGAAGCAACAGCCCTGACTCACTGAAGGGCCATATCTGCAGCCCTGGGCAAGGAGCAAGCGAGGAAGGCTGTCTTTGCAGGCTCCAAGCCAGCCACATAGAACTTGGAGGGGGGGAGGGCTCGGCACCATCCCAGGCTGCCCAATCACTGCATTACCAGGCTGGCCTGGGGAGGGCAGAGCTCCAGTAGAAGATGAAACCCAAAGTTCTTGATCTGGTCTTCCCCTTCCTTTTTTGAGTGAGCTGCTGCCTGAGCCTCATCCTCAGTAGGCTCCGGGAATCCCTCCCACGGCTTCAGTTGTCACGGGTTGCATTTTGGTTTATATTGTTCCTGGTGTTAATGCATTACATGCCCACAGCTTAGTTGGGCAGTTTGGACATTGGGACAGATCCTTTGGGGGGAGGCTGTGCCGGTGTGTCTGCCTCCCCCGCTTTGGGGACTCAAGCAGTCTTGGCAGTGGAGTCATTCACCGGCATGCCCAGCTCAGGGGCTGCCAGCTGGCTCTCACCACCATGCAGTGGCTTAACATCTATGTGGGACATGGGCTTTGCTACTCTATGGCTCCCCCCAACAGGCAGGCTGGGGGGGCAGGTTTTTATTGGGCAGCAGGCAGGTACAGGATCCATCCCAATGCTGTGTCAATGCTCCTGCAGTTGTATTGAATAAGAGCTGTGGCAAATGCTCCCTCCAAATGGGTCTACATTGCTGTCCTTCCTCCATCACCATTGCTCCCTTCCTTGACCCTGGGTCCACAACCTCAGGATGGTTTCCTGGGTGCTGTACATGCATCTTCCAGACCAATTTCTAGTTTTAGACACAATCAAAATGGGTTATGAGGTGAAATGACAATTCCCCTGTGGTATCTGTAACAATATACAACTTTACAGGTGAATGTTGAATTTGGAATCACAGAACACACAGAGGCTAACTCAAACCTTTTATTACAGGTAGGCATAGGGTTGCAGAACAAGTTTGTACCTTTAGATTCCATTCTGCAAAAGCTGACAGGATAATAATTTATGTATTGATGGAGTTAGCCAGAAGAACAAGAAGCCCTTGCCTGAAGTACCCAAAAACTGTCCATAGAAAAAGAAGACTGCCAGAATCCTCTGAGGAATACAGGGAAGGGTCTATTTAAAGAATTTCTGTTCTTTGGGGAGAGGATCAGATCAGGGCATATAATCAGATCGGAAGAATATGTTGGATCTTTCAGAAAGCAAATAGGTCAACAAAAGGGCCAACAAAAGTAAAGACAAGAACAGAACCTGAATAAGATATCTGTAAACATTTAAATTATTCTGCCTAGAGGATGCATGTATCACTCATGTTATTTGATTTTGTTCAGATGTTGTTCATCAATTGTTGCAAAACTATATGCTTCATTTTTTGTAACCAATGACTGCCTGTGTGAGTGAAGCTAATTTTTCCCTTTTTTCTGAAATTTATGTTATGTGATAAGTCTGCACCCACTGCAAGCCTAATTTCACTCACATTTGCCAAAATACAAAGAGAAAGCAGGGAGATAACTGCTTTGCTGTGAATAAGTCTGAGATTTCCAAGGTCTCTTCCATGGTAGCTTGACTAGGCATGCGATTCTTAATTTTATGAAAAGAGGAGACAGAAAAAGAGAGTTTGGTTGCAGATCCTCCCAGTCAAATTGTCAGGAGGTACAATGCTCAGACCTAGGGACAAGTGGATTCTTCAAGCTTCATACCATCTGGGATTCTTTACTCCTAGTTATTAGTCTGACAATCCTTTGACAAATTTCAAGGAATCTGGAGGAATAGAATTCTTGGAATAAAGACAGAATGGTCCCCCCCTCTCCTCCCATCATCACCAACCTCTTCCTCTTTTCCATGATCTTTCTCAAGGAAGTGGCTACAGCCCTACTGGGTTGAACTGTTACCCTAGTCTGCACAGCCTGCTTGGACAGAAACAAATGTTATTGTAGAGGTCAGCCAATAATGTGTATGACTAGGAGAATCTTCTCAAGCCCTTTTTATATCTGGCATAGCAAACAGGTTGCAATCTTTTTAGAATGAAGAAATTCTTTGCAAGTAGAAACCTAAATCTCTACAAACCTCCAGTGTATGAAGAGATCATTCCTTTTCAGCCTGAGTGCTAGGAAAGAAGTCTAGAAAGACCTATATCCTGGAAAATATGACATTTGCAGACTACTTTCAGAAGAAAGCTGATACTGGAATGTAAAATGGCTTTACCCTATACAATCAAAGGAAGAGCATCATGTTGCTATAGACACAGTACATTTGCCCACCCTGTTGATGCAACAACTCCTAGAAGGATGCCCTGAAGGAAAGAAAATACAGATTGTAAGACAACATTGGTTCACAAGGTTTTAACATGAAATAAGCACTAGAGAATCTCCATGCTACATTAGGAGATTTAATGGGAGTATGCAAATTATAGAGAATAAGTTAGAGAAATGTTTTACAAAAAAAATTATGAAAAAGAATGTCCCTTGTTAGATATAGGAAATAGCCACTGTAAGAACATGCGGAAATATATGGTTAATCTTTCCTAACTGAAAGAAAATTAACAGAACAAAACACAAAGTCCCAAGTATGGAAGGAAGGGGGGGGTGCCTTTCCTTGCTGGGAAAGTCCTTTAAATCAAGGAGGAGTCAGTGGTTGTGGTGCATGTTGCCACCAATGATGGCGGGAAGTGTAGTTGAGAGGTCCTGGAAGCCAAATTTAAGCTGCTAGGTAGGAGGCTAAAAACCAGGACCTCCAAGGTACCTTTCTCCAAAATGCTACTTGTTCACATGCAGGGCCAGCTAGATGGGCACAGCTGGGGAGTCTCAATGCATGGATGAGATGATAGTGTAGAGAGAAGGCTTTAAATGTGTTAGGCACTGGGAACATTTGGGGACAAGTAAGGCCTGTACAAAAGGGAAGGGCTCCACTTGAACCAGAATGGAACATGACAGTGGCACATAACATAAAATGGCAGCACAGCAGCTTTTAAACTAAACCCCATGGGAAAGCTGACAAAAGCTGAGAAGCATCCAGTTCTGACAGATTTGTCCCAAGGGGACAAAGGGGAACTGCTTCTGATTGCACAAATGGGTATTAGGTGGATCACTAAAGTGAGAATAAAGTAGACGAGCCAGTCAAACGGGCCAAAGGGCCAAAGTAGAAAAGGCACACACCAGACATGTCTAGAGAAAAGAGGTTCTATGCAAATGACAGAAGCCTCCAACCCAAAATGGGGGAGTTGAAGTGTTTAGTTACATAGATACAGTGAGCACAACTGAAACTGGTGGAAGAGAGAGAACCAATGGGATACAGTGATCCCCAGATACAAACTCTATAGGAATGACAGGGAAGGGCATACTGGAGAAAGTGTTGTTGTGTATGTCAAGGAGGGCACAATGTCCAGCAAACTGGAAACCTTAAAATGGGCCAGCTCCTCCACAGAGTTGCTGTGGGTGACAATACCGGGCCCCAAAAGTAATTTAGGACTCTGACACGCCATCAGCCCCCTGATCACACACTCAGAGTTACCTTGAGATGAAAAATGAAATCTCGGAGGCATCCAACAGAGAGAGAACTGTAATAATGGGTGGACTTTAACTACCCTTATATTTACTAGAGTATGTATTTATTCATTATTTAATTTATACACCACCCTCCCCCAAAGGGCTCAGGGCAGTGTACAACATTTCAATAAATACATATATTAAATGTGTGTTCTAGTCACACCAAAGAGGTAACATTTCTAGATATTCCAAATGACCGCACCGTAGAAGAGCTGGTCTTGGAACCAAAACAGATGGGGAAGTGACTCTGGACTTAATCCTCAGTGGTGCTGCCAAAGACCTAGTGTGAGATGTGGAAGCAGTTGAGCCGAATGGAAACAGTGATCATAATGGCATCAAATGGGAAAGTGCCTGGGAACTCCAAAATGGTCATATTTGACATCAAAAGAAGAAACTTCTCTAAGATGGGAAATCTAGTTTAAAAGTTGAAAGGAACAGTCAAGAGAGTCAAATCTCTTGAAAAGGATTGGGGGTTACTCAAAATCTCAATACTGGAAGCTCAGAATATATACCACAGGTCAGGAAATGTAGTATGAAGTTTAGAGGGTCACCAGCATGGCTAACAAGCGGGGTGAGGGAAGCTATGAGAGTGAAAACGGCTTTCTTCGGAAACTGGAAGGTTAACTTAAGAGAGACAAACAAACAAAAACTGGCACAAAGGAAATGCAAACAGACAGGGATGTAAAAAAGGATTTTATGGAAAGCAATGCTTCAAGCACAAAGACCAACAATAAAGAATTCTTAAAATACATTAGTTACAGGAAACCAGCTAGGGAAGCAGTTGGACCATTGAATGACAATGGAATTAATGGAGTACTAAAGGAGGTTGCTGAGAAGCTAAATGAGTTCTTCTCATTGGTCTTCACTGCTGAAGATATAAGGTAATGCCTGTTCTTGAAGGCATGTTTTCAGGAGAGGATGATGTGGAGCTTAGGCAAACAGCGGTGACAAGGGAGGAAATTCTACAACTTATAGACAAATTGCAAACTAACAAATCAGCAGGACCAGATGGTATCAATCCTAGAGCGCTTAAAGAACTCAAATGTGAAACTGCTGATCTTCTAACTAAGATATGCTACATGTTCCTAAGATCAGCCTCTGTACAGAGGACTGGAGAGTGGCTAATGTAACTCCCATTTTTAAAAAAGGATCCGGGGGAGGGGGGTGTTCCAGGAAATTACTGGCCAGTTTAGCTTAACGTCTTCTAGGTAAATTGAGGGAAAGCTTTATTAAAGATAAAATTGTCAGGCATATAGAAGGACAAGCCCTGCTGAATAAAAACCAACATGGCTTCTGCAAAGGTAAATCCTGTCTCACTAACCTTTTAGAGTTCTTTGAAAGTGTCAATAAATGTGTGGGCAGGAGTGAGCCGGTAGACATTGTTTATCTGGATTTCCAGAAGGCTTTTGACCAAGTCCCTCACCAACAACTCCTGAGTAAACGTCCGAGTCATGGGATAAGCGGACAAGTCTTATGGGTTGGAAATTGGCTAAAAAACAGGAAGCAGAGAGTAAGAATAAATGGTCAGTTCTCGCAATGGAGGGATGTGAGCAGCGGGGGGTCCCCCAGGGATCTGTACTGGGACCAGTGCTTTACAACTTGTTCATAAATGACCTAGAGTCAGGGGTCAGTAGTGAGGTGGCCAAGTTTGCAGATGACACCAAATTATTTAGGGTGGTTAAGACAAAAACTGATTATGAAGAGCTCCCAAAGGATATCTTCAGATTGGGGGAATGGGCATTAAAATGGTAAACGAAATTCAGTGTAAGCAAATGTAACTAATGTATATTGGGGTGAATAATCTCAACTTCACATATACACTGATGGAATCTGAGTTGGCAGCAACTGACCAAGAAAGGGACCTTTATGTGGTGGTGGATAGTTTGATTAAATGTCAACCCAGGATACAGCTGCAGTGAAAAATTCCATGCTGGCCATAATTGGAACAGGAACAGAGAATAAAACTGCCACTATCATACTGCCCTTTTACAAATCTACAGGGAGACCACACTTGGAATATTGTGTACAATTCTGGTCATTGCACTTGAAAAAGGATATTGTGGAGCTTGAAAAGGTGCAGAAAAGAGCAACCAAAATAATCAGGAGGCTAGAGCAGCTGCCCTATGAGGATCGAATAAACACTTAGGGCTGTTTAGCCTAGAAAAAAGGTGAGTAAGGAGAGACACGGTAAAGGTTTGTAAAATTATGCATGGCATGGAGAGGATGGACAGGGAGAAACTTTTCTCCCTCTCCCACAGTACTAGAACTGGGGTCATCCACTGAAGCTGAAGGGTGGGAGATTCAGGATAGACAAAAATAAGTATTTCTTCACACAGCATATAGTTAATTTGTGGAACTTACTGACACAAGATGTGGTCATAGCCACCAACTTGAAGGGCTTACAAAGAGGAGTGGACAAATTCATGGAGGACTGGGCAATCAATGGCTACTAATCTTAATAAATACCTACCAGACGAATATGGTTCTTTAAATCAGTTGCTGGGGAGCACAGGCAGGAGGATGCAGTTGCAGTCTTGCTGTTTATGGGCTTCCTAGGAGTTGTTGGTTGGCCACTGTGTGAACAGAATGCTGGACTAGATGGGCCTTCGGTCTGATCCAGCAAGGCTCATTATGTTCTTATGGTACTCTGCTTTCCATATTTCAATGGGCTTCAACTGACTCTTGCTGACTGGCAGTTATACTTGACCCAATAGAATTATTGGACAAATAGGTTCAGGTACAAAAACTGTTTCCTTCCAACTTCATTTAACCTGGAGGATAGCTCACCACTTTGACTTAACCAACCTGGCAATGGATGCAGATTCATGCCATAGTAACACTGTGGCTAGTTTATGGTAACAGATCCTACAATAGTCTGCTCTTTTTAAAAAACTCAGAAACTCCAGCTGATATAGAACACCACAGCTCAACTGCTATTAGGAGCTATACGGAGTGTGCATATGACACCTGCTACTTAGGAGTTGTTCCATTGATTACCAATTAGATACTGGGTGCAATTCAAGGTACTGATTGCCACCTACAAAGTCCTTCATGGTCTAGGACCTTAATATCTGCAGGACCACCTCTCCTGGTATGCTCCAATGTAACAGCTCTGCTCATCTGAGCAAAGCCTTCTGAAGGTGCCATCCTGCAAACAAGCAAGAACCACAGCTGCCCATACCCAAGCATTCTCTGTTGTGGCTCCCACCATCCAGACTAGCCTGCCTAATGAGGTCAAGAAGGCTACCACTAGGGGGGGTGCTTTCAGATCTACCCGAGCCAAAAATATGCCCAAATAATACCATATTGAAATTTTTCGGGTATATTTTGGCTTCCCAAATGTATCCAGGTTTTCTTGGGAAAACCAGGAAAAAAAATCCTGGAAAAATCCTGGATATATTCAGGAATTACTGGGTAGATCAGAAAACAGCAGTGAGGCAGTAGTAGATTGTTCCCACCTCTCAGCTGTTTGTCAGGCTTCTACTGCAGTCCCTTTAAAGTTTAAAGCTCGGCTTGGGGCTGGCTTCTCATGTAGCCTGATTTAAACTGGGCTACAGGAGAAGACATCCCAGCCAGGATCTGCGAAGCATGATCTCCCCGTGGCACGGCAGATCCTGGAGCTGGCTTCTCTTGCAGCCTGGTTTAAATCGGATTGCAGGAGAAGCCAAGTCAGCTTGAGGATTGAGCTGGGTTTTTTCCCCACCAGTTTTTTACTTCTCAGGTCTATTGGACCCGAAAAAAATCAGGATTTCTGAAAAATCCCAGATCTGAATACCATACTGATATTGGGATCTGAGATTTTTCAGAAATCCCCATTTTTTTTCAGGTCCAATAGACCCAAACTGAAAAATACTGGTTTAAAAAAATTACACACCTCTAGCTACTACATGCCTACCATTCTATAGAATGTGTACAATGGAACTGTTCAGAAGGGCATTTTCATAAAGCAAATCAGGATATAGCTAACATCTGTGGGATTTAGGGCATTCTCCATTGTATATATTATGCTATGTACCGTATATTACATTGTTCTCCAGCTTTATTATATTGTTGATTGTATATAACGTTTCTCCTGCATTTTTCTGTAGTCTCGTAATGCCTGCTGTACTGTGTGTATTTTACTGTTTTAGTGCACTACACTACAATTTCGTTGTATGTATTATACTGTTCTTACTGCATTGCTTTGAGTTATAACCTGCCTTGAATCTCAGCAAGAAAGGTAAACTATAAATGAAGTAAATTGACAAATACATGGGATATTGTTCAGCTTCAAATAGATACCTGAAAGCATATGGTTACTAAAATATAAAAGCAACACAGCATACCATTACTAATACACTGAGGTTCTCACTATTATCATTAAAAATTACTATGAATATACCTCTAACTGTGCAACCCTATGCAGTTGTACCTTTTCTGAACCCACTGACCTACGTTTCCAGGTCTGTATGTTTGCATCCAGGTAGGAAGTCATTGCTTTCAAGTAAAATGTATTTATGAGAAAGCGTGATTACCTTTTCCCTGTTGTGATCCTGGAAAATGGGGGAGGGAGGCTCTGATGCTACATTTGGGGTTGCAAGTTATCCTTAGTGACAGTACTCCAAGTTGAAGGTGGTTCTTTGGTCAAATTCTTCCTTGGTTGAACTGCCAAAGTGATTCCAGTGGTTGGAGTGTTCCTACTCTCCATATGAGAAAGGGATTTTGATCTTTCCTTGAGGCCAGATAGCAAACTTGCCCCAGCTCAGTATCTTATTGGCTTATGGCCAAGTAAGATTTATCTACCTGCTGCTTTCTCTTATATCCAGTAGATGATGCTAGCATATCACAAGCTGTTATTGCTTAGACAGAAACATTTGCTCAGATTCATACTAATAATATCTCAACCTTATTATTAATTAGGGAGCCCATCACTTTTTTAAAGTAACTACATGAAACGTCAGGTACTACACAGTGCCAAGACCACGGCCACACAGCCCGGAAAATCTACAACTAACTATACATAGTCTGAATGTTCAGTAGAATTATTTCTGTACAGTTCTGTTATATTTTGTCTGAAAGTATGAATATCAAGTTAATGTGGAAAAATTAAGAGACAACAAGGGTAATTTCTGGCATATTGTTAAGGAAATAGTTCTACATCTTGGTGCAGGTAGGGTTGAAAAAATGTTCTGTACTTCAGCAGCAGTGTAGCAGAAAGAAGGAGAGGCTGGATATGATAACCCACTTAGATGTCACATTGTTAAGCATGCATCCAGGAGGTGGTTGACATATAGAAGAACAGAAACTAAGGGCACAGCAATACATATAACATCAATACAAAGTGAAATGCTGCATAAGTTCACACAAAGAAATTAATGCTGAAATCCAATTTCCATGTTGATTTTAATTTTTGTATTTCAACAGGTGGACATCACACCAGAGTATTATTCTTTCACTGTTAAGTGAAATAATAATGGTTGGTGATAAGAGCTGTTAGAAGCCTTCCTGAATGTTTGGATACCTTAGTGGTGAATTAGACTGTGAAAGGACCACTGGAAATTGAAGTTTGATAAAGATTGTTCTCGAAACGAACGGCAAAACTCGAGATGTTCATCCCGTTCTGTACATCTTGTCGACACTCTGGTGTCTGGATGATGTCCACCTGTTGAAATACAAGAATTATAAACAACATGGAAATTGGATTTCAGCATTAATTTCTTTGTGTGAACTTATGCAGCATTTCACTTTGTATTGATGACATATAGAAGAAACATGATGAGCTGCTTCACCTGAGGAGTACAGCCACCCTCGCTATCCTATTGCTCATGTGAAGTCCAAGACCAGTGAAAGTAGAGGAAGACTAAGCCTCTGGATCCATGACATGGAGAGCTTGCCACTGCTGCCTGGCACCTCAGGGGGTGTAACACTGCCACTAAGCTTTGTTAGAGGCTTCAGCCCCACCATCTCTCCAAAGTTTACACCCATGCACGGAGGTGCTCATGGCACCTATCGAAACATACAAAGATGGTGGAAAACCTTTCATTCAACAGAAAGGAACGAAAATGTTTACCCACTGGCAAGAGTCTCTGTAACTGGTTCTGCACATACGCAGAACTCTAATGTGAAACAGTACAGAAACCACAAAGAACTGACAGGTTGAAAAAGGACTGAACTGGACCAAGCTTTCCCTTTACAAACACATTATTTAAAGAGTTGGTTTCCCACAGTGCTATTCACACAGCTCTAATTTGTGAAAACTTCAATCATGTAGGCTGGACTGGATCTTTCCCATCCACCTGTTCCTCCACTGGAAGCTGTATCATTAAGAGTATTCATTAAAAAAAAATCCTACACAATATAGTTATGTCAATAGGACTGTTTTTGTCAATAAGGTATAGTCTTCAGTGGCAGGTGAAATTATGCCTTGCTTGTATCTTTCCCCTCTTCATTTGCTCGTGGTACGATTGTATCAAATATGATGGTAAGTCACCTGCAGTACTAATAGTTCCTGTCGGACCAGTACTTGGTTTGGGTCTGGCTCCTAGTTACAGGGCAATATCACAGCTTGCCAGCAAACAACAGAACATCTGATTATGTAATTCATAAGCAACAGAATCAGAATATGAAATTAATAACTTTATGCTCATATAAGGTAGATGCTAACTAACAAAAATTCAAGTAATGACGACTAAGCAATTTTTATTTAAATCAACTGCCATATATTTTGTTTCTTTCATAGATTTACTTCTTAGAATTCAAACTCATCTTTCTATTTGTTTCATAATCTGATTATCTTCTCCTTATAAAGAATCCCATCTGGTACAAAAATCATTGGCATTGGCATAGAAATATGTGACAAAGCTAAAGTGTAACATTAACAATATGCAATATATCTATGATGACAAAAAAACTATACTAGAAAAAAGTTAGAATACATTTTATGTGTCTATAGATCAAGTATAGCTATAGTATAACCACAGTATATGGTACAATGCTGAGCACAGATGCCTTTAATATCTTTTCAATATATTAGTTAATATTAGTTAATAAATAATATGTTACCATTAATATGGCAAAAAAGTAAATGGAATAGTCATGGTACTACAGATAATATATTTATTAAATATTAACATGTACCCAAAGAGCACTGATTATTATCTTCATTACTACTGATATCACAGCTGGATATTAAGATTCTCTAACATTTTCCTTTACAAATAACTAAACAAAAATCTGACAACATTAACTGTCCCAGGAATAAGCCCCACTGAATAAAATGGGACTTAGTTTTGAGTAAATGTGTTCAGGATTGCTCCCTTATGTTACCAAGACAGAAAACTTACCAGTCATTACTAGCCTTAAGAAAAGTCTATCCTACACTTTGGCTTCTGAAAACCATTTCCATCTGCAGTTTGTACTGTTTGTCAAGTTTTCAGCTAGCTGCTACAATACAGCACCTGTAGCAATCCACACTCACAACAGCACTAAATAGACTATTCCACTCAATGACGAATACATGAATCTCCCCCCTCCCTTCAGTCTCTTTGATCACACGTATGCTGCTGAACTCCATCACAAAAATATATTATACACTCAATTAAGGAGCTATAAAGTTATTGTGGAGCACATGATAACATGGAGTGTTATCTATGGGAACAAGCCCCAAACTCTGTTATTCTGTCCCCTATATAAGCAGCTGAGCACCAAATCATGACTTCTATAGTTAGAAAAAATTACATCTTATTATTTTAAAATTCTGGAACAATAGAAGTTATACTATGGCATACCTTTCTTTTATGGTGAGTTGTGGATGCATCCATCTCCTCTTCTCCTATATTATCAATTTGCGATGTTGGACTACAATTCATTCTCTCCTCTTCCTGCCTTTGAAGCCTGTCTGCTACTGCTTGAATGGCTTCTGTCCATTCTTCCCTATCCAAAACAAGACATGTTTATTAATAAATAACTCTCATAAATACATAGGCCAATAAAGGGGGATTATCCAGAAAACTCTGCATGAAGGCAGATCGCAGTGTGAACTATAAAAGATAAAGGTAAGCACACATATATAAGCACACAACTATATATAAGCACATATAAACACAACCATCGAGACCCTTTGGGTGAGTGGCGACTAGAAATCTATTTAATAAATAAAGAAATAAAATTTTGATGGCAATGCAAATGCCTCCTTTAGCTTGGGTCTCTCATTTGCTAGATATCAGTGAACAGACTGCATACTCAAAGTTCAAGTGCTAGTAGCGTATACTATATCAAAAGGCTCATACTCTCACAGTACTTTCTACAGTTACTACAGTACTCACGTTGCATTAAGACATGGGTTTTCTAGCTTATGGGCACCTCTGGAATTATGACACAGCATGGCAGACACAGCCACAAAACGGCTGCCATAACATAAATGCCACAGGAGGCAGAGCCAGCCACAAAATAGTTACTGCAGCTAACTTCAGTCACACAGTGAAAATTCTTATGCTGTGGTGGCAGCAGTCCTGCTGAAGACATATTTTTTAAAAGCTGCACGGCGACTCAAAAGCCTTGTTGGGCAAAGCTCCATCTGGCCCTGCCAATTTCTAAGAACACTTGGTGGGCACCAGGAAAAGTGTCAGTGGGTACCATGGCACCCATAGGCATGGGGACCCCTGAATTAAGATATCGAGTGACCCTCTAGATACCTGCTTCATTATCTTCATTTACTCCTATTCGGGATGTGGGAGTTTCCCATTACCAACCCCTTCCCAACTGTCCACCCTTCCACAAATGGAGAACAATGCCCGTGGGAAGCCACATGATTAACATCTTGCATGAGGGACTGACTACATCAGCCTCAAAATGTGCATGACTTTTTCTGAAATTGATACTGCACTGCACAAGCAGTTCTACTCAGTATCACACTGATGCAAAATACATGTCCTGATGAAAGTAAATCTAATTGATCTCAATGGGATTTACTTCAGGTAATATATTGAGGATCAAGGTGGAAAAACCTTATATTTAAATTTCTGAATGGAGGGGTTCATATACCATTTGTACAGTAGCAAAAGAATGATAATGTCAAAATGAAAAAATTTACATCACGTACCAAAGTTTACCATATGATGAATTACAATAAATCACAATATTACATTAGACAGAAACTATATTTCTTACACCTTGTGTAGAAAGCATTAATGGTTAATTATCAAAACATAAATCACTACCTTCATAAGTAACTTTAATTATGTCTAAAACAAGCAACAAGATTCAAATATCTGGAGGTAGAATTGAAATAGTATTAGATATATAAGATGCTAGTTGTAAATTAGGAATACCTTATGCAACCTGTCCATGTTTTCAAATAAATGCACACAAAATCTGAAAAAAAATCACATTTTAAAAGTCTTAATTAGGATTCTTGAAACACAAGATGTAGTGAATCTTTTATTCACAGAACTTAACCTACACAACAAGTATCCTCACTTGGCTTTATTTCTCACCGTTCTTCTGGTGTATCTACATGAAAAGTCCTTTCTATCACAGTGGTCCACTGAAGACATCGGATAATAAATGTATTTGGTTTTGGTCTCTCTGTTTTCATTAGCTGGCATTCTAGAAAAATAAAGATTTTTTTAACATGCTGCATTTTATAATATGAAGATAAAAGGACTTATTTTGGTTAACTTATAAATACCTTATACATCATCACATTTGCAACTACACACACAGACATATGTCTGCATGTATAAGTGTGTGTATGTGTGTGTACATACACACACACACACACACACACACTAGGGCTGCCAAGTCCCCCTGGGGGGCGGATAATCCCCCACTTTGGAGGCCCGATTTCCGCTGCTGCGGAATCGGGCCCCGGGGGAAACCCCACCCCGGCATGTACGTCAGCCGGATGTGACGTGATGACGCCGGGCACGCTGGGGGCGGGGCCACAGCCATTTGAGGTGAAAACTCTATGTTTGAGGGGGAAAACTCTATGTTTTCCCCTCAAATGGCTGTGGCCCCGCCCCCAGCGTGCCCGGTGTCATCACGTTCCATCCGGCTGACGTGTACGCCGGGGTGGGGTTCCCCCCGGGGCCCAATTCCGTGGAGGCGGAAATCGGGCCTCCAAAGCAGGGGATTATCTGCCCCCCGGGGGGACTTGGCTGCCCTAGTGTGTGTGTGTGTGTGTGTGTGTGTATGTACACACACATACACACACTTATACATGCAGACATATGTCTGTGTGTGTAGTTGCAAATGGGACGCCAATTGGGAGCCCCCCGCCGCAAGGTAAAACAGACTTGGCAACCCTAATAAACACACACAAACATGCAAGTGTGTGTGCGTATACATACACATACACATACAGTCACTCTCTCTCACACACACACACATATATTAAACATTTATACCGCTGTCCCCGCAGAGTGGGCTCAGAGAGATGTACAACATTTATATTAAAGCATAAAAACAATCCATTAATCTAAATATACAAATAAAATACAAAAATCTTAAAACAGCAGGTGGTATATACAAAAACATACAACCAAAATGGTGTCACAGTACAAATTCAACCCCCAATGGTGGAGGGGAGGCAACTAATTGGCCAAACCGTTGCTGCCCTCAACCATTTGCTTGGCGGAACATCTCTGCCTTACAATATACTTAGACACATACATATAATTTAAACTCTCTCCCTTTGCATTTTTTTTTAATCAAGGTGAGAACTTTTTAATGTAATAATCACATTGCCCTAAAGCCAGTTTGGTGTAGTGGTTAAGAGCACAGACTCTAATCTGGGAGAACCGAGTTTGAGTCCCCACTCCTCCACATACAGCTGCTGGTGTAACCTTGGGTCAGTCACAAGTTCTCTCAGAGATAGCTTGTATACAAGAGACACATATAAGAAAAAAAGATGTAAAAAAGATGTAAAATGTTTAAAGTCTACAAAAACAGGATTGGTATTTTCTGCAGGGGATGAGAAAAAGAAAAGAGTTGCAATTTATGTTAAAGAATATTTGAATCCGGAATTTATTCGCATCAACAGATGGGAGAATAGTCGCAATGACTCTGACCCAAAAAAATAAGAAAATGATGATAGTAAATATTTATGCCCCTAATCAAAACCAGGAGAAATTCTATAAATTGCTACAAGAAACAATATCATCCCAGGTATACGATGAACTATGCATAATAGGTGATTTCAATGCAGTTTTTGATACTAAAGTAGATAGAAAGAATGGGGGGGGAAACAAGAGAGGGGGTAATACCCTGCCAAGGTCTTTTCTGGAATTAGCAGAGTGAGAAATTTGGAGAAAAAGGACTTAACTTTTTATTCAAGTAGACACAACTCTTGGTCAAGAATTAATATGGTATGGGCTTCAATTACATTAATTAACGAAGTTAAAGAAATAGAAATACTTCCGAATACTTTTGCCGATCACAACCCAATTAGGATATCATTACAAGACACTCAGAATAAGTCAAGATGGTTCATGAACAAAAAATTGATAAATAAAAAACAATTTGTGGAAAAAACTAAGATAGAACTTAAGGAATTTTTTGAAAGAAATACCCAATTAGAAAAATCTATATTGATAATATGGGATGCATTTAAAGCTTATCTACGAGGAATATTTATCAATGAAGAAGCGTGGAGAAAACAACAACAAAAGAATATCGGGTAAAACAAATCGGGTAAAACAAATTAAACAAGAAGAAGACAAACTGAAGAAGGGCAGAAATATTGAACAAATAAAGTCAAAATTAAAATTATTACAACATCAATTGAATCTAATGCTAACACAAGAAATAGCCAAGGAATTGGAATATACGAAGCAGTACTATTTTGAACACGCTAATAAACCATCTAGGTTGTTATATAAACTAAGAAGAGAAAAAATGAAACAACTAATTAAAGTTTTAAGGGATGACAAGCAAGTAAATATAACTGGGGGGGGGGGAAGCTGAGAACTTTTAAATGTAATAATCACATTGCCCTAAAGCCAGTTTGGTGTAGTGGTTAAGAGCACAGACTCTAATGTGGGAGAGCCGAGTTTGAGTCCCCACTCCTCCACATACAGCTGCTGGTGTAACCTTGGGTCAGTCACAAGTTCTCTCAGAGCTGTTCTCTCAAGAGCAGTCCTCGAAAGAGCTCTCTCAGCCCCACCTACCTCACAGCTTGGCAATGTTCCCTCTAAGCTGTGGAGTCTTGTGAGCAAAAATTCTACTTTGTGAGCTACTGGCATTAAAGTTGTGAGTGAGCGATTTGGCTACTGCATAAATTAGTTTGCTCTGGAGCCATCCTTCCTGAGCTAAGACGAAAATGTGTGAGCTGGAGGCTAAAAAACTGTGAGCTAGCTCACACTAACTCAGCTAAGAGGGAATACTGCTCACAAGATATCTGTTGTGGGGAGGGGAAGTGTCATGGGTACGGGTATGGCTGAGGCTGACTCCTCCTCAGATGAGGAAGAGGCAGGGAACAACTTAGCCTCCTCTAGAGACAGCCCAGAGGAAGAACCCTTAGCAGTACTTGAGGAGGAAGAGTCCCCAGCAACTGCACAAGAGGTGCAGCCAGGAGGCGAGACCATTCCTGAGTCGGGGCCAGCAACCCCAGCTGCAGACACCCCGAGGCCAGACTCCCTGCCTAGTTCCCCTGAGTGCCCCAAATGTAGGGCACGGCAGAGGCTGACTTTGCAGGAACGAAGAAGAAGTGCCAGGCTGCAGCTCCAGCAACGTCAACGAGAGGAGTTGTAAGCCTCTGCAGACTCAACTCCAAAGGGAGGGAGGATCTGTTTAAAACCCCTTGGTGCACCTGCCCCAGTGCGGCAACAACTCTGCAAAATCGGACCTGCTTCTGAGTGTGCAGCAGTCGCTCCTTGCCTTTGGAAACCTGCATTCTTGAAACGACTTCACGGCTATCAGACCTTTGGCTTTCTCACTGACCTTGATTCCGGCTTGTGTCTTCAGCCTCTAGCTTATCGCCTTGGCGGCTACCAGCCAAATCAGCACAGTAAAGGAGGTTGTAAGCCACTCTGAGACTCCAAATAAAGGGCGAGGTATAAATCCAATCTCTTCTTCTTCTTCTAAAGAGATATGTGCACTTTTGTACAATCATGTCTGAACCACTGATTTCGGGAGGGGTGTTGAAAGGCTTGAGTCAGATTGAGGTGACGAGAGAGAAGGTCCTACGACTGATAGACTACTTAAAAACCGATAAATCACCAGGCCCGGATGGCATACATCCAAGAGTTCTGAAAGAATTCAACTGTGAACTTGTGGATCTCCTGACAAAAATATGTAATCTTTCATTAAAATCTGCCTCCATTCCTGAGCTACTGTCACTCCCATCTTTAAAAAGGGTTCCAGAGGAGATCTGGGAAATTACAGGCCAGTCAGTCTGACATTGATACCGGGTAAGTTGGTAGAAACTGTTATTAAGGAGAGAATTAGTAGACACATTGATGAACAAAAACTATTGAGGCAGACTCAGCATGGGTTCTGTAAGGGAAGATCTTGTCTCACTAACCTGTTAAGTGTTTTTGAGGGAGTGAACAAAATGTGGACAAGGGGGACCCAATAGATGTTGTTTACCTTGACTTCCAGAAAGCTTTTGATAAAGTTCCTCATCAAAGGCTCCTACTTAAGCTCAATGGTCACGGGATAAAAGGACAAGTCCTCTTGTGGATCAAAAACTGGCTAATTAATAGGAAACAGAGAGTGAGTATAAATGGGCAATTTTCTCAGTGGAGGGTGGTAAGCAGTGGGGTTCCACATGGATCAGTACTCTGTCCGATGCTTTTTAACTTGTTCATTAATGATTTGGAGTTGGGAGTAAGCAGTTTGGCGCTAAAAATCCTAAATATAAATACACATTGATGGGGTCTGAACTGGCAGAGACTGACCAAGAGAGAGATCTTGGAGTCGCAGTAGATAACTCAATGAAAATGTCTAGACAGTGTGCAACTGCAATAAAAAAAGGCCAAAGCTATGCTGGGGATTATTAGGAAGGGAATTGAAAACAAATTAGCCAGTATCATAATGCCCCTGTATAAATCAATGGTGCAACCTCATTTGGAGTACTGTGTACAGTTCTGGTCACCACACCTCAAAAAGGATATTATACCATTGGAAAAAGTGCAGAAAAGGGCAACTAAAATGATAAAAGGGTTGGAACATTTTCCCTATGAAGAAAGGTTAAAACGCTTGGGGCTCTTTAGGTTGAAGAAACAACGGATGAGGGGTGACATGATCAAGATTTATAAGATTATGCATGGGATAGAGCAGGTAGAGAAAGAAGTACTTTTCTCCCTTTCTCACAATACAAGAACTCATGGACACTCAATGAGCAGTCGGGTTAGAACAGATAAAAGGAAGTACTTCTTCACCCAAAGAGTGATTAACACATGAAATTCACTGCCACAGGAGGTGGTGGCAGCTATAAGCATGGACAGCTTTAAGAGGGAGTTGGGTAAACATATGGAGCAGAGGTCCATCAGTGGCTATTAGCCACAAGGTATAGATAGGAACTCTTGGTGGGGCAAGTGATGCACTGTATTCTTGGTGCTTGGGGAGGGGGCAACAGTGGAAGGGCTTCTAGTGTCCTGGCCCCA